GAACATTAAATACCCGGCGCAAGTATTAAATATATGTTTTCCACCCTTCCGAAAGCTACCGCTACATGATAAGCCGGGGTGTATAAATTTTAAGTAAATTAGCGTCCTTAAATTTCGAAATATTGAAATTTCAAGCATTTCTGAAATTTACCGTTATATGAAAAGCGGCCGTAATTTTAGTCCGATTTCAACAATTTTCAACGGTTTGCTTTTATGTGACAAGCACAATAACCGTACCTAGTTTGGTATAAATTGGTAGAACGGTTACCGAGATACATATATGTGATCATAAGTGGGCGGTGCCACGCCCATTTTCCAAAATTTTATCACATTCATATTTCTTTGTTAAGAATTGTTGCAACCATTAATTTTGAAAAAATTTGCTTTAATATTTACTGATTTATCGAAGATTTCGTATTTCTCTAAATTTCCGTTATATGGGATGTGGGCGTGGTTATTGTCCGATGTAAAAAATTTTCGGCCATTTGGTATGCTGTACCAGGACCAACAACTGTGCCAAGTTTGGAAGAAATTGGTGCAGAGGTTACCAAGACATACACATGTAACCATAAGTGGGCGTGGCTACGCCCATTTGCCAAAATGTTTTAATATTCTTATTTTTCGTCTAAAAGTCATTGTAAATATCAATTTTGAGTGAATTATCTTTAGTAGTTACTAAAATATCGCATTTTACGTATTTCTGAAGTATCGCTCGTATCGTATGCATTCTTTCTTTTATGAAGGGTACGATTAATAGAAAGATCCTTTTTAATATACCCTTTATTTTATGCATAGATACTCTGTACTTTAATAAAATGTATTTAAGAACAGACTAGTACCCCATATTTCTATCTTTATTGTATTGAAATAAACAATATTTAAAAAGTATTTCACTGTTTTAATGAGTTTTCACAAACATTATTGATTGGGAAAATACAACTTTACAAAACGAAAAGTAACTAAAAATATATTATACGTCAAATATCCCAGGCGCTCTGAGCGGTGCAAAACAAACTACTTTTCGATTAGCTAGGAAGCAGACAGAAAATGGGAAAAATAATTCGAAAACTATGATTTCTATAGATTTTTGTACGGGTTATCCGATGGTTCTTTTTTAAGTCGGACGGATTTCGTAAAAAACTTTTGTCATGGCTCCAAGGCCCTTTTTCTTCTAGTGTGGTTCAGACGTGGTATATTGACGTTTTGGAAAGCACCCAATGTCTCCTATACGTTTTCCAAAAATTTTCCATTTTCATGGTGAAAATTCTAATAGAAACTTTATCTGTAAGTTTTTGCAATTATGTCCATTTTTAATATTGTTTTAAGTTATCTCAGTCGAAAGATCAGGTATTTTTACATAGAAATCATTAACAAAAAATGGACCTTTTTTGTTTTTCGGGGTATTAGGCGTTTTAGAAAATAAAATAAAAAATATTTTTAATAGCAGATCCGAAAGAAATATTGACACATATATTAGTTGTATTGAAATGTGCAAAAATAGTGCCGAGAGTCAATCGATTGTGCTTAAGGTGCCGGCTGCTTCCGAAAGGGCCGAAAATGGCACAATGCACACTCATTTTCCATCACTGATACATTGGCCGTCTGCTGCGATTGCAGCTTCTCGACACTAAGCTTTCCTTACATTTTTGGACGCACATTTTTTGCTGCACACTGTGCAGCGCACAGATGCGGTTGCGTATCTTGGCTGCAACAAGAAAGTGGTCCGAGTTCATGTTTGTCCTCGGAGTGTACATACATCTAAAACACAACATGAGCTATTTTTTCTCGTTATCCAATCTGGGGGAGATTCTGTAACCTCGCACTCTTTGACGCAAAAACATTCATATTATGCATCAAAAAGTGCGATAGCGATCAGAAAATTTTCGCTAACTGGTTACAGAATCTGACCCATGGAGACAGCCAAGTAGCTTGATGGGTCTTTTTATGCTTGAACCTAGTACTGTTTACTACCATGTTTCGGGCCCCGACGCAGTCCATCAGCCTCAGTCAGTTACCGGACGTTCCGTCCTAGGGTTTGCATTTTCCGACGATGGGGCCAAATATTCGTTCCTTGCCCACCCTGGCATTGAAATCGGCAAGCACGATTTTTATATCGTGAAGCGCTAGAGCTCGTACAAACATATGTGCCCTCAAGCGCTCATAAAAGAGATTTTCGAATGCTTCTTCCCCCTCTTCCTCTTATGCAATTAGTATCGAAAAATCTAAACGATGAGTTCCGTCCGGTTTTTGAGATCAAACTCGTCCAAATTTTGTTGAGCAATGCTATAAGTGCAGGGAGCCAAAAAATGCGTTCAATAACAAATTTAAATAAACTCCTTCATTTACTTTGATATGTGAGTGTTGTTGTATTTTATGGGGGATGTAAATTTTGAACTCTTACAGGTCTATTCTGCACGTTACCGAAGATTTTGTAACCGGAAAATTTTATTACCAAATAATGTTACCAGTTCTTGTCACTTGTCAGTTAAAATATTCAGCTATGACGAATTGTCAAAATTCTGGCATTGCATATTTCACGGGGCAATATTTAGTTACCAGCGCAGAATAGACCTGTTAATATGTATGTATGGCAAAAAAAATATCATTGTCATCACTGGGTTACGTATGTTTAAGTGCACATAAGTATGTATGTATACCTGCAGACGGTTTACAAATAGTGTGCCCACAGGTAGTATACTTCCTAGGGTTAACAATTACATTTAATTTTAACGCTCTAAATCAATGCCGACCAAAACGTGTTGGTTTACTTCATAGATTACGAAATATCTGACTTGGTGGTGGAAATTGTTACCTTGTTTATACCTAAGATAAAACCAGATTAACAAAAACCCGATTCAACATATACTTCTTTCAAACGTTTATTCCTTAGTTTTTATAGCAAATTCTATGAAATTTTGCTTACGCATCCGTTTTGAATCAAAGCGAACTTAGTCAAAGCGCTTTATGTGTCGTTATAAACAAGGTATGTACTAAGGCATCCAATCCCGGACCATCTTGTGAATCCCGGGATTTCGGGATCTTAAATTGGTAGTCCCGGGATCGCCGGATATTTTGGGATATTATTACCATTAATTAAAATATGCTAACAAACTAGTTTTGTAGTCTTTCTTTAATGCGAATACTAGAAATAAAAATAAATTTGTGTTGTTGAGCAAAGATATAAATGTCTTTATTTTATATCAGTTTGAAAGTCTAATTACAAACTGAATAAACTAAAAACTATGGAATTGAAATTCATTCATTATGCAGTCGCAGTCATTTTTACAAAAATTAAAAAATAGGAGATCATCTTTACACTTACATATAATATTTATACATATATATTTGTAGTAATATTAGTATACCACAACATATGTATATATGCATATATACAAGTCGGACGAATTTCGTAAAAAAATGATGTCATGTCTCCGGTTCGCTTCAAATTTTTTTTTGATTCTATACATGAAATAAGCTAACACGTATTCGAGGATTTTTTTTCTTTTTTTCTTTTTTTCTTCGGAGCTATGATCTGTCAAAGTTCGAATTTTTTCGTGATTCTAACCATTCATGTACTTCTTCAAATCGTTATATGTATCTCGGGCTCTACTCATCGTAGAGACTTCCTCTTAACGTCGTTTTGAAGATATATGATGGTTATGATCAGAGGTGGGCACTACCACAAACAAGCGTGAGCTAAAAGTGAGAATGTGTTAGTGTGCCTAATTCATTTTGCATGCTGTCGTGTTCTCATCGCTGCGCTCTCGCTTGTATACGTACACGCGACGCTTACGCTCTTTTAGCACCTGCTAACTCTCTGCCCATGCCTGGTTATGATTGTCCTAAAGTTAACCTAGCTATTAGCAGTTGAACTTTTTTAAGTTTATTTGCATAGTAAAGACCAGTAAATTTGGGATTTAAAATTACACCATCGTAATCCTTGTTTAATTCTCTATAAAAAACATGTTCAAAAAAATGGGGGTTTTCCAAGAACTATTTTTAAATAAATTTTTTTTTTTATGACGAGGTGGTTTATTTTGTGAGAGTCAACAATGAATTCTCTACGATGAACAGAACTCGAGATATAACAATTTAAAGAAGTACATGATTACTGAGCCAGAATCACGAAAAAAAACAAAATTTTACAGATCATATATCCGAAGAAAAAAGGAAAAATGTGAATCCAGTCGAAATTCAGACACCAAATTTAGTGTCCGATATGAAAAAGAATGCCTCATATATATGTTATATAAAATATAACATAGAATAATAGTAGTGTTAGAATTGTAATATATTATTTGATTATTTGTAGGGTTTCATTTTATAGTGCTTGTATGCCATTACAGAGTCTGAATGTCGTTTTATTTTAATTTGGTTGTAAATTAAATTATATCCCGGGATCCCGAGGGCTTGATCCCGGGATCCCGAGGGCTTTATCCCGGGATTTCGGGACTCGAAAATGGGCTCGGGACTTCCGGGATTCGGGATCACAGTTCGTTCACCATCTGAAACCTTTTAACAAAATGCTCTTTTAAATGAACTGCCTTATACAAAATTTTAACAGCATTGCTTTGTTTAATATGTAATTGTATTCTGTTTCCCGTATTAATGCGAGTAGTAAGAAAGGCAGGCATGTGCAGCCAGACATATCGGACTTTACGTCAGTTATGCATATTTGAAAACAATTTGGTGAGATGTAAAGCTATTATATTTCTATATTTAAAATGGGCCAGGCGTAATTCCCAATATCAAAATTTCTACAATTTCTAGAATAGGAGTCAAAAACACCAAGATTTACATCCGGTTTTCCATTGTTAACCATCTCAAAAGTATCACTAATAACACGTGATGGCCCATTCAGATAAAGTTAAAAATATTTACCAGAAATGCCTATTACTATTTATATTCCTTTGACACATTTTTGTTTTCTAGAAATTCATTAGACGACTTTGACTAAAACATAGACAACACATTTTTTTTTATTTTGACCAAAGCAAACATTTTTATGAATTGTTTTATTTTTATTTAAAGTACAACTATATTTACAGACCCCTTATAAACTATTGCATCTCAAAATTGGTGAAGTAAATAATTACTTTCCACCACCGCCGCCACCGCCTCCCCAACCTCCTCCGCCTCCACCGCCACCTCCTGACCAAGGACCACGACCACCTGACCAAGGGCCACCGCCGCCACCATTAACAGAAAGAGCCTCTGGATTTGGATAAGCTAAGGGTTTGAAGAAGTTTTTAGTACTTAATAGAAAATACATACACACATATGTATGTATGTACATACTACGTATGCAAGTAAATTTAACTCACCCATAACAATCGTAAATATACCTAGGACTAAAGCAATAATTACTTGGAGCTTCATGTTGTCGACTGTAATGTTGATCTGATTAAATCGCTACCGTATTTATATGAAAATTTTGAAATGGGAAAGTTGCCCATCAGTACACTTAAAGAAATGTGTATTAGTATATTTTGCAAGCATCTATTAAATTTATATATGTATGCATGGATACATTTACATTGTTTTCATGCTTTTTTCTATAAGTGTATGTAAATATTGTATCGTTGAGTTAATAAGTTGAAAACTAATTTACTATCATATACATTTATTTTACAATAAAAGCCTACAGTTAAGCTTCGCTTTAAAGATACACAAATTCCGATAGAACATTTTTCTCAGTGGACTTAGGTGATAATATTAAGTTACATGCTGTTGAATTGATATGAGTGGGAATTTCAAAAAACCTATCAAAGTTAATGGTGAGAGTGATAAGTATTTGCGAAATATTATTTATTTAATTTCTATTTTACAAAAATGTAATCAATATGAAATAAATAAAATGCATAACTTGTCTGTTTCGAATATTTATATTAGGATGCATCATTTTCCATAGAAAAAAGGCAGTACTGTTTCTTCTCTCGCAATTAATAAACATTTATTATATTATAAGTCAACGGCCAAACTATTTCGAAAAAATTTTATGATTTAGGTGTGCTGCGCCCAGTTGAAAATTCCTAAAAAAGAATTAGTTATTTTAATAAAATTTGTTTTAAAAATATTTTTTTCTAAAAAAAGAAGAGTTTAAACTTACAAATTATGCATACAAATGCGTTCTCAAATCGGTCCAGCTCACGTAAATCTTATGATTTTTCCGAAATATTGGGGGAAGTCTTAAAATATAGTAAATATTATAATTACGGTGGAAAAACAGAAGCTCTTTGATGTATACCTACATATAGATGTACGGGTATGTATAGTACAAACGAGCCCTCGAACCAGTTGGAAAACGTTTTTATATTAAGATTTTTCTTCGATTTCGGACTCTTTCAATTGTTTTTACCAATTTTATTTCAATTTGTAGTCTATATTTTTTATTCTTTTGTACGAGAATTTTATGTATGTATATTCGCTACTAAATTAAAATCTGTTGTTTGAAGTTAAAACTCTTACTTGTAAATAATTGTAAGCAAAGTAAATAATTTACAATTTAAAATATTTTACAATTGCTTACAATATTTTACAACAATTCGCGATTATTTACATTGTAAGTGTAAAAAATTTTTAAATTTGTGGAAGTGCACAACCCTGGTACAAACCAGGGAAATACTATACTATATACCAAACGGTTATAATGCCACCAGTGTATAATTGCAAAATGAAGGGTGTCGCCACGTCGAACGCGGACCGCCGCGACGCTGGGCACTTTCAAAATTGTATACTTACACACGTATATACGTATTAATATTTTCTACTGTCCGGCCGAGCGTTCGGATTCGGGTTCGGTTACTGAACAGTTCAGCCATGAAGTTCGGGTCCGGATTCGGTTCGGTGTCGGCAAAAATCGGTCGAGTAATTTGGCCGAAAAGTTGTAAAGAAAATTTTAAAAAATTATAAAAATTTAAATTTTTTTAATTTGAGTGCCTCTGTAGAGTTTATGAATGCGAAAAGAGAAATTTTATTTCTATGTGTGAACAGCCAGAAAGAATTTTCTGTTACATTTCGGAAATCAGTTTCAGAAATAAAAGTTGCAAAATGTGACTGCAAGTGAAAGAGCAAAATTCGATTTCGAAAATATATTTCAACTCGCTCGTGCTGCAGTAGCAGTTTTTATTTCTGCTGCATGTTCTGCCAAACTAACCGAGTGTTGCCGTGTGACACTTTTAAGTAATTATTTTGCGGAAATCAATTATAATTAGGGCTCGGAATCTCATGCAAATGCATTTATTTATTGGGCATATTCAGATGGAAATTGTTAAGTCATATTTACGAATCTTTAAATCTCATTTAAAATGGCATTCAATTGTTAATGCATACTTTTGCATATTTTGCAAAAAATTCCTGATTTAAAATTTATAATAATCTAATGTGGGTTTTGCATATTTTTGCTTTTTATGATTTAAAACCATTTAAATTTAATGCGAAATCTCTTGAAAAAAATCCCTTTGGCAAGCTAGGTGCAGCTCCGTACTAAGTGTGTCTCACGCTGTGGGCGCCTCGCTCAGGAAGATAACAGCAACAATTACCGAAATTTATCACTCGAAGGCCAAGCAGAAGGGGAACCATACAGGATCGTACAGGATTACCCGGCAGTTCTGGGTGTCCTATGACCCACTTAAATCCAAAGCTCTTTTAGGAATGAGCAAAGAAGATACCTAAAAACTTACTGCAGTATACACAGGGCACTGTCCCGTTGGGGTACATGCCAGGGATAAAAAAGTAGGCACAATTGTACCTTTTTCCGACGTTTGATGACTTAAAGGTACATTAGGTACAATCGTTAGATTCTAGGTACAATCATCTATATACGATTCATTTTTAGTTTTTTTTTCTTTTTCCTTTGCCGTGCTAATATATTTACTTGTAGGCACGGGAGAATCTTCACTTTCTTCGTCTTCTTCTTTTCTGGCGCTGTAACCGCCTAAGTGATTTTGGCCGAGTTCAGCAAAGCACGCCAGTCGTTTCTCCTCTGTGCTAACGGACGCCAATTGGAAACGCCAAGTAAAGCCAAGTCCTTCTCCACCTGATCTTTCCATCGCAGTGGGGGCCTCCACCCACCAGCGGGTTCCGAGTTGAATATTTTCAGAGCGTCGGTGTCCATTCGAACGACATTACCAAGCCAGGGGAGCCGCTGTATTTTAATTCACTGCACTATGTCCATATCGTTGTAAAGCTCATACAGCTCATCGTTCCATCGTCTGCGGTACTCGCCGTCGTTAACGCGTAAAGGCTCCTGAAATTTACCGTTAGATGAAAAGTGGCCGTAATTTCCGATTTCAATAATTGTCAATGTTTCGCTATAATGTGACAAGCACAATAACCATACTGAGTTTGGCAAAAATTGGTAGAACGGTTACCGAGATACATATATGTATGTGATCATAAGTGAGCGGAGCCACGCCCATTTTCCAAGAAAAGAATTATTGCAAGCATAAATTTTGAATGAACTAGCTTTAGTATTTACTGATTTATCGAAGATTTCATATTTCTCTAAATTACCGGTATATGGGATGTGGGCGTGGTTATTGTCCGATTTTGAAAATTTTCAGCCATTTGGTATGTTGTACCAACGCCAACAACTGTGCCATGTTGGAGAGAAATTAATTAAGCGGTTACCAAGGTATACACACGTAATCATAAGTGGGCGTGGCTACGCCCGTTTCCCAAAAATTTATAATACTCTTATTTTTCGTCTAAAAACCATCATAAATATCAATTTTGAGTGAATAGGCTTGAGTAGTTACTAAAATATAGCAGTTTTCGTATTTCTGAAAACTACCGTTATATGGGAGGTAGGCGTGGTTTTTGTCCGTTTTTACCCATTTTCAACACCGTCCGTCTTACGCCCGAAAGAAGTACGCGTACCAAGTTTCGTTAAGATATCTTAATTTTTATTCGAGTTATCGTGTGCACAGACGGACGGACGGGCAGACAGACAGACAGTCACCGCTTAATCGATTTCTCTTTTCATTCTGATTTCACACCTTCATTCGAGAGAGGGGAGTACGTAGGTCTAGGGCCCAATGACATTTTATGGAAGAAATTAGTTCAAATTTCTAATATGAAAAGTATAACAGGAATTCGAGGATAGCTAAGTTAAGTGTCCATTTTTGGGCTTTTTTAAATGCAAGGTAAAATGTTTAGGAGAATTCGTAAAAGGTGTATTCTCGCAGTCTTGCAAATCCCTTGCACGGTGCACGGTTTGCAAAGCTGTCCCATACGAAAACCGGTTTTTACCATGCAATCTGTGCACCGTGCAAGGGCTTTGCAAGACTCACAGAATACCCCTAATATGATTTTATTAATCTCTTCCTTTTGACAGGTTTCTTTCGAATTGTTTATTTTTCAAAATGAAAACGAAGCTTCTCCCATGTCAACAAGTAAATATATTAGCACGGTGAAAGCAAAAAAAATAAAAATGCATCTGATGAAAAGATGATTGTGCCTTAAATCTAGTGATTGTCCCTAATGTACCTTTAGGTCAGCAAACGTCGGAAAAAGGTACAATTGTACCTTGTGTGCTAGCCCTCAAAGTTTCTCACATTTAGCATGTGAAAGCTAAGAAGTAAATGCACAAATTCTCACTTCTCGTACAATATGAATATAGCTCCGAGCTTGTTGTTTGAGTGTTCGAATCGCGGTGGAGGCAGAGTGATTTTCAGATTTAATAAACTTAAATTGTTGCGGGCCGATTAAAAATTGAAGAGGAAAAGATGAAATTTAATACATATACTTAAGTAAAAGAAAAAAAAAAACTAAAATATATCAAAAAATGGAATAATCAAAATTGTTTCCCCTAACAAACTCATTGTCCTAGATCTGGTCAAAATATAACCAGTTCAGAACGAGTTCAAAAGCTCTACAGAGGAGGGCGATTGCCACTTTGTAGGACATCGCCATGTTAAAAAAGACAGTTGAAACCATTGATTTGGGATAGATGAAAAACCAGTACCGTCCGTTTTCAAGCTAGTTCGGCGCTAGATTTGAACCAGTTCGATTTGCTGTAGGGACATTACATATACATATGTACGAGTACAAACAAATATGAATACACCATTACAAATCAACAAAACTTCTCATATCGTCACCCTTATACCAGAAGCATGAGCATGTGCAAATTTATCAGTTTTGAGTTATTGGGTTGACTTGATTAACCTTTGGATGTTCTGTGTTATACCAAAATCCAGAATAACATGCGTACACCGGAAACCTCATATTTTACATTTTCAATTGCCTAAATGTATAGTTAAGTCTCGCAAAAAACACTTTCCAACGTGATTTCCCAAAATGTTCATTTGTACACATTTATGTTTCTGGCATACGGGCAACGATATATATATATACATATGTATGTATGTACATTTATATACTAGTAGGTAT